GCAGGGTTGTGAATAGACAATAGACAAGCCAATAGACTCAATAGACAGTCTAGTGGTCTAATAGTGTCTAATTAAGTAATTAGACAATAGACAAATTATTATATAATTTAAACCAATCTGATTGGTTAATTTTAGTTATTATTATCTTGCTAATATATAAAAAATATTAGGTTAAAACCAATAGATATTAGACTTATTAGACTAATAGAATTTCAATAGACTATTAGATAATTAGACAATAATTTTTTTGATTAGACTATATTTATCACAACTCTGCTATAGTATACTGGATGCACTGTTGGAATATATTATTTGTATTTTTTGGTGCCTTGTGTATGATAATAAATAATTGGTTTATTACTTTTAATGCTTACAACTCTAAGTTAAATTCACACAATACTGATGCATATAAAGTCTCGCCTCTGATTGTAACAAACAAAACATGAAATTGAATTAGCTATTTTTAAATTAGAAAAAGTAAAAGATTTTTAACCTTTCTTTTGCAACTACAATATAAAAAAACTAAATTTATATATTTTATTTACAAATTCTCAATATTTAACAATAAGCATTACTATGATAATTAGCAAGTTACAGTAAGAATAATAGAGAAAAGAGCTAATATCACATTATAATGATTATGTATTATTTAATTTTCATTTACTGATTTGTCACTATTGCTATTAGTTGACGATTCAATACTATCCTCCATTATAACTTTAACTGTTTTATTTGTTTCATTTCTAGTAAATTCTATCTCTTTTTCTTTTCTTAATATTTTGCATTTTTTAGACTCTTCAATATAACGTGGTGCAACAATATCTAATACAAACAAACCTTCTAACTTCCATTTAGCTGATTGATTATCAGCTGGATGAGTTGTATTAAATACAATTTGATTTGTAGTAAAATCATTTGTTATATCTGAGTTATCATCATACCATAAACTTGAATCTTCTTCATCTTCTACCATTGAAAGCCAAGTTTCCAGTATTTCAGACCACTTTCTTACATTTGAAATATAATCTTTACTTGATTCGCTATCTAATTCGATGTCTTCTTCTAATTCATTATTCTGACATATTGGAGGTGCAATATTAGAATTTGCAAATTTTATATCATTTTGGATTTTTTTAATTCAGTTTTGATAAAGCATTGAAGCACGCAACTTGCTCATATTTAAAACTTTTTCTGGCTATAAATTAAAGTTAGCTTAGACGATAATATTAGTTAAAATATATTTCAAAATCTTAAAAATTTATCATAGTTTACAAAATTTGTAATAATTATTTAGATAATTATTGACAATAATTATCTGAACAATTATTATATTGATAATTTTAATTAGAATAAGAACAAGCAATCAAAAAAATATTATTATAGTAATTATCGAATCATTAAATTTTTTAAACTTTAAATTTTCAAGATTTCATAATAACTCAAATAATAAATATATATTTAATATTTACACTTAACC